TCCAGAAAGCATTAGAGTGGTGAGGTAGCTGGGATTATATTCTAAATGCCAGCAATTCCTAAAAGGTACATTTAGGGTAAATACTGTATTTGGTGCTAATGAACACAACTTTGCTAATGACTAAAACTATTTTCTGAGAGTTAGTGAGGATTTATAAGTGATTAAATTAATCTCTTAGTGGAATTTGATACCAAAATACTATTCTAAACTTCTCATTGCTGATATAGACGGTATGTTTTGGTGTTTGGGTGTGTGGGGTTTTTTTTTGTGTGTGTATGTGAATTGAGAAAGTTTTTATGTTTATCGGCCCTTAAAATATAGTTTTTCAAGAAAGTATAAGCTTGTGGATTTACGACTTTATGGCCATTTGGGAGTAGAATATAATCTAATTAAATATTCTTTGCATATTGAGTGTTTCTAATATCTTGTATTTAAGTAAAAGTTGTTTAACTTACTTTTTTGAGGATTTTATTATGAAAGTGGCAAATATTTAATGATCTCTGATTTGAAAAGGGGAATTCAAACAAAGCTTTGTATCTGTAGCTAATTTCTCCTGCTCATAATTGTACATATTTCATGGCATATAATTTCATGCCTTAATTATAAGAAAAGATAAACATCCTTTTAGTCTTATAGCTGTCTTGATTACTTTTTAATAAGTTATTTTCTCAGCAAAATAGATTCAAATTTAGTTAAACATTTGCAAATTATTCTAGGGTTGCTTCTAGCTATTCCACAGAGAGACAGATGTCACATGATTTGGTTGCTGTTGGCAGGAAAAGTGAGAACTTTCATCCAGTGTTTGAACATCTTGACTCAACTCAGAATATTGAAAACAAACCTACAGGAGAATTTACTCAGGAAATTATAACAATAATCCATCAAGTTAAAGGTTGGTATATTTTACACATACATTAGGGATAACACAAAATAACTTACTGACTTTTCATGAAGATAGGTAAAGATCTGTGATATAATTTACTAGTCATTAATATTTCATTATAAGTTGCATCAATGACTAGGAAATTGGTTGGAGAGAATATCAGGCATTCCTTTAAAACCTAGTTGCTCTTTGTATGTAGTTCCAATAACCTTGTGCTTCCACTCAGATTAGAAATCATAAGTTAGAAAGGGATTGCTCCAAAAGACAATACTTCAATACTGAGAGCAGCAAGAAACAGTGATACCTGATAGCCTGACAAAAAGGAGGGAGCAACAAAAAGCAGATATAAAACTCACGAGCTCAAGGAATTTGGAAGTCTAGGTCATTTCATGATATTCTTAAAGCCTCCCAAGAGCAGTCCTGGATTCTCCATGCTGGAAGGATGATGCTGAGTGAGCAGTGGAAGATTCCAGTTTGATGACACCAGGGAATTACATAATTAATTCCTTAAAGATTTATGTGAAATTGTTATGTTTTGGTTTTGCTTCTGGCAAATTTCCAGTAATTGGAAAATTCAGTCATGTAGAAAAGTTTTCCCCAGTTGTAGATATTTAAACTGGAGGCCTTCAATAACTTAAAAAATTTATATATTTCATACTAGATTATTGCATTAATCTTTCTTACTTTCATAAGACATTTTTCAAAAATGAATTGTTTTCTTTGCTTCCCTCAAACTAAGGTATATGTTTACTTTAAAGCAGCTTGTCTGAAACAGTTTACCCTCTCAGCTCCAGCCCCTCTCACCCAAAGGAAGTGTGATTCTTGGCAGAAAGGGAGCTGGTGTTACAGAACAGTCCAGAAGGTCATCCCAGAACAGGACCCGTAAATTAGGGAAAAGGATTGCTAATGTAGCATTCTCATGGGTCAAGCTTATTAGCTTTCCTGCTGTCCTTTTAAAAGCCTATAGCATAGCTGATGTTAGAATGTTTTCATGAACTTAAAGTAAAATGACATTAGGAGCCCTTCTGTGGTGTATAAACATAACATTTAGCATCTGCTCAGAATTGTTTTGATGTTTCAGAGTTGTTTCTTGGAGTTCAGTTTTACTCTAGGTGAACTGTAGAGCTCTATACCATCTTTACCTCCCAGATATAGCAGTTTTACCTTGGAAGAGAAAGGTTCTCACTTTGAGAGAACTATTGTCTCCCCCCACCCCACCAGAGAGTAAGCAGGCATGTCAAATAGAGATAAAATGCTTGGATTAATAAATTGGATGTTATTGCTGTGGTTTGGGCTTGGGGCTTGGGAAAGCACTTGAACACTAAGAATTAGTCTGAAAGAAGTTTGGGGCTCACCTATTTTCAAGAGAAAACAGGGTGGATTTTTTTGTTTGTTTAGTAGTCCTTTCTTCCTGTGTTTTTATATACTCTTTCAAGTAGAATCAGTCTTACATTGAGATTAAACCATTTGTTTTCTTTTTCAGAAAATTATTTTTCATCACCTGGCACTACTCTACATGAGCGTTTCTCAAAATTGCAAGCAAGACAAGATGCAGGTGTAACTGAACTTAAATTGAATTCAGATCCCAGAATTCACAGGTAATGATTTAACTCATGGGAATAAACCTCAGAACAGATTCTGGAAGGTACTGCTTCTTGAGCTTGTTTACCTGGGCTTGCTGTAGATTCTAGGACTCCGCATTTCCTACTTAAAAACAGGAGTAAGCCAAGCAGGTACTGGGCCACTGTGCTTTAATGAAATAGGTGGTTTTGAAGCCATTGACTAGCATTGTTTAAATGTGTAAGACTTTGAAAATATTTACCTACCTAACTTTAATTCTGCTGTATCTCTAACTTGTAGTTGCCAAGTGAAGTTATCTCTGGAAGGATGAAAAACAGTTGTCAAGCCATTGAAATCATAGGTTGCTTCATGTGATCAGAAATGGCTGTTTTGAGGGCAGCTGGATGAAACATGTCTTTTTCTATTGGTGCTTGGCCGAGCAGGTGGTATGTCCTGTTTTGTGAGCTGAGTTCAATCAGTGTTAGAATATAGTATGAAACCGGAACAGAATTTAAGGTTATACAGATTTGAGAACCACTTAGAAGCCCTGGTGGTGCAGTGGTTAAGAGCTCGGCTGCTAACCAAAAGGTCAGAGTTTTGAATCCACCTGCCGCTCCATGGGAGAAAGATGTGGCAGTCTGCTTCTGTATAGATTGCAGCCTTGGAAATACTATGGGGCAGTCGTACTCTGCCTTGTAGGGTTTCTGTGAGTCAGAATTGACAGCAGTGAGTTTTATTTTGTTTGTTTGTTTAGCAAAGCTTCTCTGTAATATTATTCACAGGATATGTATGTTACAGAAGAGTGCCATATAGATGAAAAATCATCTGATAGCAGATTTATTTTGCTTGCTTCCTCCTACACATATGACCTTTACTTCAAATTCTCTTCTATAGTGAGTAGAATCAAGATCCAGTGTATGACATAATTATTTAGTTTTAATATGCTTTTATTATTTTAGGAGAATAGACATGTCTTTGGCTGAGCTTCAGAGTAAACAGATTATGGGCTATGAATCAGAACAGGTAAGTAAATACAATTTTGGATAAGAGTTTACCTTATTGTTGGTATACTAATAGGAAAGGGAATTGGAGATTGATAGTCAAAAACGGAAGATAAAGTAGATGAGAAAAAAAGATTGAGACCCAGAAATCTGATGTTTCAAAAGCTCTCCAAGTGATTCTGAATATTGACTAGGTTGTAGAAAGAATATTGATCGAACGGAATAAAAATCAACTATATTCCCTAAGGAGGACACTCCCTAAGGAGAAGAGCCTTATGAAGTTGACACAAAATTAAAGCCTTTAATATTCATTCCAAAACAGTTTAAGTTGTACATGGAATGAATACAGAGGAACTAAACTTCATTTTTTTTATTGCTCTTTTGTTTAGAATGTAAGAAAGATCCTTGGGAATATGAACTAGTAAAATAGTGCTCTCATCCAACACCTCCCTTCCCCCATTTCTTTGCTAATTAGAAAAACTATCTTAACTGGTTGTGGAGGCGGGAAGAAAACTGGCTCTTGTTTTAGAAGCGTATCAAGTTCTAGAAGAACTGCTAATTTATTCAGTAAGACTGAATTTTTGTAGAGAAGAGATTTTAAAGCCTTTGTGATAGAATATATATACTTTTTTTCACTTGTGAAATGGTTATAACTTTTATTGAACTTAAGAAGATAGGTTTTATTGAATAAATGATATTTTCAGAAAAATTAATCATAAAATTAGCATAATCAACATATGAGGATTTTTTTTTAAAGACTGATTTAACCATTTAACACAAAATAATATTTTATTGTTTTTCCTTATAGTCTTGTATCTTGCATTTTAACATATAGTTGCTATCATAGTATATGCAGTTTTGTTTGCTGTTTTTCTTTTCACTTAAACCGTAATACTCCTTTTATGTAAAACCTCTGCACTCCTGTGACCTTTTATAATTAAGGTTTTTTAAGTTTTAATTAACTTTGTTCAGTATTTCCCCACTTTGTTATATAGTCTTTATTACCATAATTTAAATGGTTGTACATTTCCTTTGAGTTAATTTACCGTAATTTGTTTAATCATTCTTTTCTTCCCCTTTAGTTTTTCTTTTTTTAACATTTAAGGTGCATCCTTTTTTGTTGTTGTTGTTACTTTGAATATATTTGGGATATGTCCCATTTCTTTGGGATGGAGTTCCAGAAGTGGAATTTCCAATTCATGGTTACAAACTTTTCTGTGTATCATTAATTACATCTCAGAATATGTGTATCCATTTATCACTACAGGATGAGTATAAGATAACTGATTTAGGATTTTTACTAAGGTTCTTATTAGATATGATCTTTTTGCAACTAACAGTAATGTGAATGGTTTGTCTTCTGTCAAAATTCCTCAGAGTCTGGTCAAAGTAATAGATCCAAATGACCTACGACATGACATTGAAAGGAGGAGAAAAGAACGGTTACAGAATGAAGATGGGCACATTTTTCACATAGCTAGTGCTGCAGAGAGGTAATAAGTAGGTGAAAAACATATTGTTACCAGGGAGCTTTGGGTTTCAGCATATTTTTCAATTGTTTGGTGTTATGGTAATTTTCTTTTTAGTGTAGGGATTTTGTCCTTCAAATTCATTTTATATGTTTAAGTGAACTCTTAAAATGATTCAAATTTATACAGTGACCATGATATTCTGTTTGATTTAAACAAACAAACAAAAAAAATTACAGTGGTAGGTGAATATTTGAAGTGTTTATAGTTCTAGAGAGGAGGGTAACAGCTTTTTTAATATTAGCAGGAGTCAGACCCAGTAAGCTTATGGACTATTTTGCAAAGTTGATTGAATTCTTCGCTTTAGATTCTAGTATTTTTTGAATAGTACAAGTTTTCCTGCATCAGTGCAGTTCTCTTTTGGATATTCTTCTTGGATATTTGTCCATGAAACAGAGGCAGATGGAGTAGAAAATGCAGGGAAAACTCAAGTTTGTATCTCACCTCTGCCAGTTTACTAGCTCTTTGATGCTGAGCAAGCCTACTTAGTCTCTGGCTTGTCTCTGTGTATAAAATGAGAATAACCATATTTATGATATGAGGCTGGTATAAATATTCAGTGAGCTGTCACATGTGAGGTACTTAATGCCATGCATCAGTAGATCTTTGGTTTTGTCCCTGTTCCTCTTTTTCAGGACTCTACATATTTTAGACTGGCCCCAGTTTATCTCTATTCTGAAAACTGTATGAAATTCATGACATTTCTGGAATCCCACATAATTATGGGGTATAATTGCATGGGACAGAATTTCCAATTTGTACAGTATCCTCATAGACTGTTTGTATCTCCCAGAAAATAGGAATGTATGACTAGGAAGGGCCAGAGCTACTTACTTTTCCATAGTCCCTAGTCAGATGACTAAAATACTTGACTAGATTTTTATGTCAAGTTTACGATTAATTCTACTAGGTCTCAGTCAAAATACAAGAAGCTTGTTTAAAACTGGAACTGATTCTAACAGTAAGTTTGAGATTAATTAAAAGAAAGCAAAATGGTTAATTGAGGCATGTGAAACAGAATTGAAAATAATATAGTTAATATTTTGTCCATTGGTAGATGAAAGCGTCCAGTTTTTAATATGGTTAATGTATGGCATGGCTATGCTGTTTAATGGCATGAACTTTCTGTCATGTTTTTCTTGACTCAACAAGGATAAGAACTCAGTGTACCAAGAAACAGGATTTTTAAAAACAGGTTTAAGGTGATCAGCATAGTATAAAAATTATGTAATGCTTTAGGATATATCCTTACCCTTTGAGGTGGTTAAGAGCTTGAGCACTGAGTTAAACCTGAGTTCAATGCCTGGCTCTGTAACCAACTAGTTATGTGACTGACTTTGGGCAAGTTACCGAATCTCTTAGATTCTCACCTGTAAAATAGGGATAAGAAGTACACTTAACTCATAGTGGTGGTGAAGATTAAGTAAAGTGATGAATGTAAGATCAGGATTAAGTATTATTGATGTTAGCTTTTAGGGCGGTGTTGTAGGTTGCTAAGATATCCTCTCACAAGATGTCTTTTTTCTCTGGGCCTGTAGAGTTACTTGGGTTGGATAGTTGGTATGGCGTAGTAGAGCCAGGAGCATTTTTTTTTTCATTATTAAGATAATTACTTACCATAAATTTCACCCTTTGAATGTAAACAGTTCAGTGGGTTTTATTTTATTCACAGAGTTATACAATCGTCACCACTGTTTGATTCCAGAACATTTTCAGCAAAAGCAGTCACTCCTCACCCCCTACCTCAACTCCCTTACCCCAGCCCCTGGCAACTAGTAATCTACTTTCTGTCTCAATGAACTTTCCTATTCTGGAGAGATCATATAAATGGAATCACAAAATATGTGGCCTTTTAAAGGAAACTTTCTTTGTTGGTTATAGGGGGTGAGGTGAGAAGGGAGCACTGCAGAAAAAAAAGTGACCTTTTATGCTTAGCTTCTTTCACGTAACAAAGCTTTTAAGGTTCATCCATGCTATAGCATATATCAGGACTTCATTCCTTTTTATGAGTGAATAATATTCCATTGTATAGATATTCCACATTCTGTTAATCCATTCATCAGTTGATGGAACATTGGGTTGTTTCTACTCTGGGGCTATTATGAGGAAGGATGCTATAAACATTTGTGTACAAGTTTTTGTGTGCATGTATGTTTTCATTTTTCTTGGGTATATACCTTAGAATGGAATTGCTGGGTCAAATGGTAACTCTTACATGTAACTTTTTGAGGAACTACCAGAATGTTTTCCAAAGCAGTTGCACCATTTTAGTTCCCACCAGCAGTGTATAAGGGTTTGAATTTCTCCACATCCTCACCAGCACTTATTCGTATCCTTGGAATCATAGCCACATTAGCAGGTGTGAAGTGGTTTCGGCTTGCATTTCTTTGATGACTGTTGCTGTTGAACTTCTTTTTCTATGCTTATTGGCAATTTGCATATCTTCTTAGGAGAAATGTCTGTTCGTGTCCTTGGCCAGTTTTTTTTTTTTAATTGGGTTGTCTTTTTACTGTTGGGGAGCTCTGGTGGTGTTGTGCCTAAGGCATTTGACTACTAACCAGAAGGCTGGCTGTTCAAACCCACCAGCCACTCCAAGGAAGGTTGGGCAATCTACTTCCATAGTGATACCACCTTGGAAACCCAAGGAGGGGTCGCTTTGAGTTGGATCCGACTTGATGGCAGTAGGTTTTGTTTTGTTTTGTTTTGTTTTCTGTTGAGTTGTCAGACTTCTTTATGTATTTTGGGTACTACTTCCTTATCAGATATATGATTTCCAAAGAGGGTTTTCTAAAGGGCCTTGGAGGTTATGAGGAGTATAGATTTTATATCAATGCCACTGGGGATCTGTGGGAGAAAATGAAGCAGGGCCAAGGTAGCAAGCAATTCACTCCATGGAACAGGGCCTCCAGAGAGCACAGGAGTATCATCAGGAGATTGGTATGAGACAGGGAGAGGAAGGGCTGTGGAAATGATGCTTTCAGAATTGGAGAAGAAGCCTGGAGAGGGATCTCCCTCCCAGATAGGCTGCCTGGGAACATGGGGGAGGTTTTGCCACTCTGTTAAGGGAGTTTCTGGGCTAGGTGGCAGGAGCTTTGGTGGCCGTAGGACCTTGTGACAAGAGAGGGGGGAGCCATTGTGTGCTGTGGTGGCCCAGTAATGTCTCTCTGCCAGTGAGGGGACCCTGACCAGTCAGCCTCCAGTGAGTGGGGTGAGTCCTGAGGAATCTAGAGCAATGATTCTCTTTCCTCAGAAACATCCACATTTCAGGGGGTTATAGTTGCCTCATCCAAAGAATATTGTTTTACTTCTATTGCTAATTTCTTAGGCGCTTTGGTAGCATAATGCCTAAGGCATTTGACTGCTAACCAGAAGGCTCGCGTTCAAACCCACCAGCCACTCCTTGGAAGGAAGGTTAGGCAATCTGCTTGCGTAGTGATACCGGCTTAGAAACCCAAGGAGGGGTCACTATGAGTTGGGTTCACTCAATGGCAGTGAGTTTGGTTTTTTAGTATTGCTTATTTCTAACTTAGCTAAATAATGTTTGTTGAAGAAGTGAGTGTTTTAGCCCTGATAGCTATGGCTTATAATTTTAGTAATGATAGATCATTAAGATTTTATTGTTGTGCTGCTTTAATTCTCTGAAGGGGGAGGGGTATTATCTTTTTTAGATGAAGTTGAACTAAAAAGTTCTTATTTTCATGCTTTCATTTTATTAGGAATGATCAGCGTTCCAGTTTTTCAAAGTTGAATACTCACACTGATGGATTCAAAAATTCTATGTGCTTTACAAAATCAAATTTTAGAAAATTTGTTCAGAAACCTAACAGGGTAAGATTGTAGTTTCAAGTTTTTCATTTTTGTTCATTCCATTCTCCTCATGTATATCTGTACAGAGATCCCTGATGTTTTTCATGATGTTTGTAACTGTTCATTAAGTACATGTTATTAGAATCTGTTGAGGCTTAGTTATTATGATAGAAGAAATGGGAATCTTGTATTTGATTTAGCAGGATTTTATTGGATTTATTATAGTTTTAGCTTTCATTGCTTAAGCTTTTTTTGTACAACTTTATTAAAGTAAAATTTACATACTATAAGATTTACCCATTTTAGGTATACAGTTTAATGATTTTTATAGTAAATTTACCAAGGTATACAACTCTCACCATAATTTCATTTTAGAACATTTTCCATCATCCCACTATGAAAACCCTATGAATCGCACTGGTCCACTCCACATCCAGTGATGGAATGGCACAGGATCGAGCAGCATTTCTTTACATTGCACGTGGAGTGATCCATAAGATTTTTGTTGACCAATTTTCAAAAGTAGGTCCCCAGGCCTTTCTTCCTAGTCCATCTTTATTGGGAAGCTCCCCTGAAATCTGTTCAGCAACACGCATACCTTTATTGACACGCAAGCAGTGGTGAGGTGCATTGGCTGGGAATCCAACCCGGGTATCTTGTGGGCGAGGTGAGAATTCCGCCACTGAGCCACCACTGCTCCCTCTACTCCGTGCTTGACCTGAGCTTTTATTTCCACCTAGCTCTTAAAGCCCAGCGAGTCTTGTGATACACACACACACAGCGGTCTTAGAGCTGTACGTTCTCTCGGTGGGGGCCGAGCAGCTCAGCCCCACCCTGGTTCACCTCTGCTCGAGGCTGACAGTCATTGTGGTTTAGGACTTGAGGGAGGCTTCCCTCCTTCCTCTGGTCCTTCTCCACCATCACAAGGGTATGTGTGTCCTGCTGAGTGCCACTACCACCACCCCTTCTCGAGTGAGAAACCCAGGAGTCAACCTTGTCAATGCCCTCTTTCATAGTCTACCCATGCCACCCTCCCTTCCAAGTTTGTAGGCCTCTGACTTCAGCTTTCCCTCTGCCTCCATGGACTAGACGATTGTTGGCTGTGCATGAGGTACATTGGTCAGGAATTGAACCTGGGTTTACTACATGAAAGAGGAAAATTCTACCACTGGATCATCACTGCCTTTAACATGGACATTGTTGTTGTTGTTAGGTGCTGTCAAGTCAGTTCCAACTCATAGCAACCCTGTGTACAACAGAAGGAAATGCTGTCCAATCCTGCACCATCCTTACAGTCATTGCTATGTTTAAGTCTATTGCTACAGCCACTGTGTCACTTTATTAAGGGTCTTCCTCTTTTTCACTGACCTTCTGCTTTACCAGGCATGATGTCCTTCTCCAGAGACTGATCCCTTCTGATTGTATATGCAAAGTACATGAGGCAGACAAAGTCTCACCATCCTCGCTTCTAAGGAGCATTCTGGCTGTACTTCTTCCAAGACAGATTTGTTCGTTTTTCTGGCAGTCTATGGTATATATTTATTATTTGCCAGCACTATAATTCAGAGGCATGCAGTTCTTCATGGGTCAGGCACATCTTAGTCCTCAAAGTGGTATCTTTGCTTTTTAACACTTTAAAAAGCTCTTCTCCAGCAATTTGCCCATTTCAGTATGTTTGATTTCTTGAGTGCTGCTTCAGTGAGTGCTGATTGTGAAGCCAAGTAAAATGAAATCCTTAACAACTTCAGTCTTTTTTCTGTTTATCATGATGTTACTTATTGGTCCAGTTGTGAGGATTTTTGTTTTCTTTGTGTTGAGGTGTAATCCACACTGAAGGCTATATTTCAGCAAGCAAGGTTGAGTCGTCTGCATATTGCTAGTTGTTAAATGAGTCTTCCTCCAATCCTGATGCTGCATTCTTCTTCATATAGCCCGGCTTCTTAGATTATTTGCTCAGCATACAGATAGAATAAATATGGTGAAAAGACACGACCCTGAGGCACATCTTTCCTGATTTTAAACCACGCAGTATCCCCAAATGACTGCTGCTTGGTCTGTGTACAGGTTCCTCATGAGCACTATTAAAAGTGTTCTGGAATTCCCATTCTTTGCATTAGGTCTTCACAACTGGCTATGGCCATAGAATATGTAAATGTGTTTCATACCATCTTTTAATCTCTTGAGTAATGAGGAATAGCATCAACTGAAAATTTGACCTGCATAACTTAGAGAACAGTGTAGGTGGAGTTTCAGATCTAAGTGGTTCCTACATGTTGCTAGTCTCATTGAACTGATATAGTTTATTCTGGTACTTTTCTAAGATTGTTTTAAGATTTATTTCCTATTACCTTTCCCCATTAAGGAAAGATTCTATAATTTGTAGACAGTTTTTTTCAGAATATATGCAGTAATCTTACCTCTTGACTAATCATTTAAAATTGTGTAATGTTATATGATTGTTTAAAATCTCACAATTCTTTAGGGTAAAATAATGGGAAGGAATAATTTTTCCTAAGAAAAACAACTATTTTATTCAAATTTACTCTTGATTGGGTCGAGTTCAAAGTCAGATAATAATCACCTCATTAGAGATGGAAAATATAAGCCTCAAGACTTGCTCTGATGTATCAAGTTTGTGAAGATGATCTAAATACGAGCATAATGTCTCATTAGAATTCTGTTTTACCTAAAGTTTTTATAGCCTTAAGAAAGTAACTGGACCTGGTGTAAATACTTTCTTTAATTAAAAAATATGAAAAGAAGAGTCAACTTAGTTTTTATAACTCCTCCATGATGTAGTGTATCATTTTTACATTTGATTCTATACCATGGCCCATGATCTGTTTCCTGTTAGAAGTACTCCGGGGATAAAACATAAATAAACCAATAGTTCAATTTCAGAAAGACTTAAATCCATTCCTGTGGCCAAATGTTTGAAAAGTATTGTAGAACCTAAACATTTTCTATTTAGGTGTTTTAAGCATTTATCAGGCAATAATTTAAAAACCGTAATTTAGTAACACATATTATATTTTTCAATCAATTAGTAGTTTAGTATTTTGAATGCTGTGGGTCATGCTGTCAATTTGTCCAACCTTGCAGCTGTTTCCTTTTTAGAAAGAACCAGCAACTGACTAAGCTCCAATCTTTTCTTCTTCTGGCATTGCCTTAGTTCCTGAGTTAATGTAAATTTTATTTTCGAAGGGGAAACAAGGACTGTTTCTAGAGGCCTTTTATTTAATAGAGTGACTATAGTGTTTGTGAAGTTTTATTGACTTCCCTAGAGGCTAATAATGTGTATAATCTTATGGTAGAGTTAATTTAGGAATCAATGTTGTTGAGCTTTTCATGTTGAGGGAAATTTGTCTCTCTCTGACACCTGTATAATTGTATACCAGTCTTTTAGAACTTAACTTTCTATAAACTAAATTTTAAAAAAGTAATAATAATTTTCTGTATGTAAAATGAGATTGCTCTGTAGACTTTCACCCAAATCACAATAAAAATTTTAAAATAATAATAATAATTCTGGCTTCTGTTTAAGCCTTTGTTGTTGTTGTTGTTGTTGTGTGCCGTCAAGTAGATTTTGACTCATTGATCCTCTAGGACAGAGTAGAACTGCTCCATAGGGTTTCCTAGGCTGAAATCTTTACAGGAGAGCAGATCACCATATCTTTTCTCAAGGAGCGACTAGTGGGTCGAACCACTGACCTTTCGGTTAGCAGCCAAGTTACCATTGCACCACCAGGGCTTAATACTTAATAGCTTACAAATAGGCATTCTAAAAGGAACTGCTATTAATTTCATCACATTTGAGTGGACCTTGGTCATCTAGTAGTTGGAAGGTGGCCCAGGACTGGTTTTTATTTGGCAAAATAATTTTATTAACATACAAAATCCATCCATGCTTTGTGACCAAATATTTGCATGTAACTAGATTGTGTTTTACTTTTTACTATGAATATTTGCTTGAGACAGTAGAAAAGAAAAATTAGATAATAAAGTTTACCAATCTGCTGAGTAGACTTATGATTTATAAAATTACATTATGAATGTAGTATACAGTAGCTACTGTTTTGAAGATACAGAATTTGCAACTATTATTTTCACCCTGTGCTTGCCCAGTAAATGAAGACCAGTCAAGTTCTTACCCTGAGCACTGAGGAAAAAGTGAAGAATAAGACGTCCAGCTTGTGCCATTGAAGCTAAATGGTGTTTTGTGCTCTTCCAGCCTGGAGAGCCCTTTTCTTGGATCTCAGTAGAGACCCTTGATGGAGACTTATGTTGGCAAAATCAGAGAGACCAGCTGCCTATCAGGTGCTCAGCCTGGGCTCTCCACTAAATTGTCAGCTCCTGAAGAAAAAAGGTCGATTAGTGTAGTCTTTGTACCTAGTACATAGTATTATATAGGAATAAGTTTGCCTGTTACACAAGATGAACAATTACACCAGTTGGGTACACTTCTTAGAACAATCAACCATGGAGATCTGAAGGGCAGCATTTGCAATGGAAGATAGCTCCGGAGGTCAGGAATGTGTAGGAAAGAAGAACATAGGGAAGAAAGGTAACCACAGGGAGGAAGGGGGAAGAGAGCTGTCAGATTGTGGGGATTGCAGTCAGTGTGATGAAACAAAATGTGTGTGGACTATTAAATGGAAAGTGAATTTGCTCTGTAAACTTTCACCCAAATCACAATTTAAAAAAAAGTTTGCCTGAGAGAAAGTCTTTCCTTCTCTGCTATACCCTCTGACTTCTTGTGATTCTACGTCCTAATATTCACTTTATGCTGAATTTATCTTTGTTGCAAGTTTAATTTTATCTGGAGTTTTTCTTCATATGACTTCACATCTATTTTCTGTAGGAGAATTTAATTGAATGAGTTTTGGCAGAAATCCTTTTCATAGCCAAGGCTTTAAGGCTCAGTAGTACAGAGATAGATTCCATCTGTGAACCTTTGGGCCACTTTTCCCGTCTGTTTTAGATTATTTTAGGAGGTTGCTTGAAAATATAGGTGGGCATAAGGAGTGTGTGATATGGGGAGAGAGGGAGAGAGATTTGGAGAATGTTGGAGAAGATTGTTTCATGGCTGACAAAACTGAAGACTCCTTCCTTTTCCTACGTCCAGAAGTGAATGAACAAGGGACCATTCCTTTTATCAGCCATGTGGGAGATGCACAATTATTCATTGTCCTTGGATATCTATTGTAATACTGGACACTGCAGTCCAGGAAATGGCCCTTTTAGTATACTCGTATCATGAAGATGGTTACTTCAACGGGATTTTGGTGATAAAGAAAGATTGGTTTGGAAATACAAACAGGAGTAAAATGAAGAGAAGTTTTGATTCTTAAATAGATGTTGATACTTTTGACAATATTTTGGCAATAAATATTTTTTTCTTTTTGGAATTTATTATGAATCAGAAAAATAATGTTAGCTCATTTGAAAGTTGTAATTTTCTTGGGATGATTAATTTTAAAAATTAATTTAAAAAACTTTATCAGTTTTTCAAATTGGTTTTATGTATAATAATTCAAAAAATTTACTAGTATATAAAATAAGCTCAGAAGCCAGTTTCAGGGAAACTTACTACCATCATAACCCTTTCTCTTTTCATATCTAAGATGCCTAAAATCAAGGGCAACTCTTAAATATCAGACAGACTCTTTCCCATCTGTTATACAAATAAAATAGACCTGGAAGCTGTAGTGTTAACATTAAATTATTTTTTCCTTTACAGACCAACTTTAGAGGTGGCAGATTCCAGCCCCATTATAAATCAGGCCTAGTACAGAAGAGCATGTACATTCAGGCTAAATATCAGCGTTTACGATTTGCTGGTCCAAGGGGATTTATCACTAATAAATTCAGAAAAAGATTACTGAGGAAAAAAAAGGTTGGTTGGATTACGATAATTTAAAACTATTGAGTTACCTTTGAACTCCTAAATTATAAATGTTAATTAGATAAGTCAGATATTTCATTTGATTTTGATTTAAGAAACAACTTAGATGAAAAAATATTTTTATATTCATGGACATAAAATAAAAAAACTTCAAGGGGTAGTGGTAATAGAGTTGTGAAACTTTAACCTTTAAAATGCTTTTAGGTATTATACTTCACATATTATAAATGTGCCAGCCGTTTGAACTTTTTACTTTAGAATTTCTTTTGTATAGTTGAAATAGCAATTTGAGTAAAGACTTTTAATTTTTTTTTAGCCTTATGCAGTGTGAATTATTTAAGTACCAAAAAATAGCAAACTGACTATGTAAAAAGGGTACATAATTACAAAATACACTAACTTAATGTTAATAAAAATGAGGTTGTTTTACTTGATCACTTTAATTGTATACTATTTTAATTGTGCACTGATTTTATTTAAATTAACTATCTTAGCATATGAAAATGTAGCATAAATATATATAATTCATTTCTATAATTAATATTTTAAATGACAACCATTAGCATTATATTATATCAGCATTATATTAGTTAAGCGAGGCATGTTTGTCAATTTTTAACGCATTTCAGGCTAATTATTTTCTTAGAAATGTTCATGTCTCTAATATTGCTATAAAATAGCAATAGTTTTTTTAAATAAATTTTGTAATCATAAATGTTTCTTTAAATATTTTTGCCCCTCATATCTTTACACCAGGCTTACTTAGTGATTTTGGTAAAACTTAACATTGTTTGCAAGATGGACCAGTAGAATGAAGTTAACAACTGATACTAAATTTTAGAGTTAAATAGAAGATTTCCAAAAACCCACTGCCTTCAAGCTGATTTGGACTCATAGCAGCCCTGTAGAACAGAGCAGAACTGCCCCATAGGGTTTCCAAGACTGTAATCTTCATGAAAGCAAACTGCAACATCTTTCCTAGGGGTTCAAACAGCCTACCTTCTGATTAGTGGTCAGTGGCTTGACCACTGCACCACCAGGGCTCCTTCGTGTAACTATCAATACCCTCTGATTTTAATTGAGTGCCTTAGAAGAGGTTTCCAATTTCACTATGTGTGTCACTCTTGATTTTATGAAAAGCAAAAAAAAATAAAAAACCAAACCCACTACCGTCAAGTTGATTCTAACTCATAGCAACCCCCATAGAATTTCCAAGGCTATAAATCTTTACAGAAGTAGATTGCTTCATCTTCCTCCCACAGAGCACCTGGTGGGTTTGAACCACCGACCTTCTGGTTAGTAACCAACTGCTGTACCCACTGTGCCCTCACTTTTGAAATTCTGAATAGAATTGAGGTAATTTTCTCCTCTCATATACCTCCCTGCTGTCAGGCTGGGCCAGGGTTTCTCTTCCTTGCCTTGTGTGGCAGGTTTTGTACTAGATCTTCTAGGCATTTGTTCCCAATCACAGGTGTCTGCAGGAGGTTAGTATTTGATTTCTGTTTTAGGAGGAACACTGACACAGACATGCTTCTCAGTTGCAAGGTCGGGTCTCTGGTAGATGATGTCTGCTTCTGCTCTTTTAGCTCTTTGCTGAACTTTGAGTTTTCAGCTTCGTTTCACTCCATTTTTACCTCTATCTTTTCGATGGTTGGTGGCTCCTGAGTGCTTACTTGTCTGCTTAGGCCTGCAGTTTCTGTACTGAACTTGCTCCAGTCCGTCATTTTCTCCTTTGCCTCAGCTTGCCATATTCCTCCTGACTGATCATTCATTTAGACCACATTGCCCGTTAACCCCACTGAACATGAAATAGAAATCAGACATCAGATCTTTATTATAAGACAAAAGAAGTATGTTCTGGAAGGTCCCATAACCTGCTGTGGGTCTCAAATCTTTAGACCTAGGCTTTTTTGTATTGTCAGAAGTATAGCAAGAAGCCCCTGGGTGGTGCAGTTAAGTGCACAATTTCTAGCTGAAAGGTTGGTAGTTTGAATCTACCCGGGGGCATCTCAAATACAGGCCTGGTGATCTGCTTCTGCCCTGGAGCAGTTCTACTCTGCACACATGGGGTCACCATGAGTCATAATCAACTCACCAGCAAGTAACAACAAAATACAGCAATTACAGTTAGAGTCCAGTGCAGGTCACAGGCTTGCCTGCCTGTTGTCTTTCACTGCCATCTGAATGCTTTAAAGGTAGTCCCAATACACTGCATTTTTTAAAAATCAGTGCAAGGCATTTGACTGCTAACCAGAAGGCTGGTGGTTCAAACCCACCAATCACTCCTCAGAAGGAAGATTGGGCAATCTACTGCCGTAGAGATAATGCCTCAGAAACCCAAGGAGCAGTCACTATGAGTTGAATCGAGTCAACAACAGTGAGTTTGGTTTTTTGGGTTTACTGTTCTTACAGAGTCTACTACTTTTTTTCTTTGGACTGCCCTTCTGGATGATACTTCATATATCTTTGTATTATAGCCACTTCGACTTGAGCTTTTCCAATCTGTCCACTGTCAGTGCCCACAAGTAAGTCATAGCCAGGATTTTTATAGATTTGTGTTTGAACAAGGCCCAACTCTATGAATTCAGCATCAAATCAAGTACCTTACTATTAGCACCCTACTTAACAGTTGGGCTTCACACTTCCCTACCTTTAGGGAAAGGAATGAATTGTTGCAGCTCCTCTGTTTTTGTCAAGGTCTAGTCTTAGCTACCTAAGATGAACTTGGCGTGTAAGCTATCCCAGTAGTACCGTGGCACTTCAGAACCATACTCTATATGTGTAAACTGATGACTTGGACCTATTACTCCATTATACCGCTGCCTTCATGCCTTAAAGAAAAGTGATGAAGGCCTCAGGTCTTTGGTTTCTTCCAATGTTGCTTCCCCTTTCCCTCAAATTAAAGACACTGTTGTTCAAATGGGTTGCTGGATGTCAGGTACCATGTATATCAGTTTTCATCCCAAGCTTCAGTATCAGAGGGAACTTTGAAAGTCCTGCCCTAGAAAGAAACCTTAATCTGGGCAGTATCTGTATACCACTTTGGCTTTTGCCCTGTGAGAGTTCATTCTTAGGGTAGTTATAATGAATCTAAGTGTCCTCAGACTTCTCAAACCGCAAATTAGATATTGTCTTAGTTATCTACTGCTGCTAAAACAAATACTACAAATGGTTGGCTTTAAAAAACAGAAATTTATTTTCTCACAGTTTAGGAAGCTAGCAGTCCAAATTCATGGTGCCAGCTCTAGGGGAAGGCTTTCTCTCTTGGTTCAGTCTGGAAGAAGGTCTTTGTCTCTTTAACTTATGCTTCCTGGTTCCTTGAAGATCTACGTGTGTCTGGGTATCTCCAAACCAAGCCAAACTCACTGCCATCGAATCGATTCTGACTCATAGCGACCCCCTTTGGGTTTCCGAGGCAGTAAATCTTTATGGAAGTGGATTGTTTAGTCTTCCTTATCTCAAAAGAGAGTGACTCAAGATATACCCTATACTAATCCTGCCTCTTCTACAGAACAAAGACAACCCATTCCCAAGTGGGATTATAACCACAGGTAGGGGTTAGGATTTACAACACACTTTTGGGGAACATAATTCAACCCATAACAGATATGAACCTACATAATCCCACATGTCTAAAACTTCACCAAGAAGGTTTAGAGTGATTTTGTCTGGACTCCTCACTCCCCTACCACATTAAAATGCACAAGTCATGGCTTGAAGGTCTTGTGATGCATTTGTAATGCAGTCTGGTGGCTGTGCTGTCAGACTGTGTGCTTCCCATCTCTGAAACAGCCTCTGGGCACAACTAGATGTACTTCTGATATATCCTCTTTTCCCCTTACCAGAAGGACATTGACTTACCTAAAACTATTGGCTTCCAGCTGCCTACAAAGTAATACGATTCCCAAATAGTATTAGAGAAGTGGTACAGAACTGAAATTCTTCTTCCTTGTTCATCTCATACTGTCACATTAACCCCATTCTGACACCCAGAGTCCCTTTTATTGTGGTTCCTTTCTCTTGGATTCTGTGTTTGGGCTGGAAGATGAGGGAAGGTGGAGGGCAATGTCCTTTACTGTCTAGAATAAGGCTCATCTTTTATCCACTGTCAATCTCAAATGCCCCTATTAAATATCCTTTGCTCATCACAGAAAGTTTTCAGAAATTCTTGAGGGGCTGACTATGTATCAGAATAGGACAAAGAACCCAATGAGAATTCATGATGCCACCTCTGGAGCATTGCCTCTGAAAACTGTCAGCAGTTGTGCATTTGGTCAGGAAGACATGGAGCTTTTTTAGCACCATAGATTCTCCAGCCGTCTTTAGGTGGCTGTAAGCTGGGTGCCCAGAACTTGGCCCATGAATAAGAGGGCGAGAAAGAAGAGGGCAGAAAGACAAAGTCAAAGAGGAAAGTTAAAGACCGAGATTCATGGCTTTTGGGGTTGAAAAAATCTAAGTCATGGAGTACAAAGATAGGCTAAGAACCAAGGCCAGATGAATCAGCACGACTCTGTTGTACACCTGATGTTTCCCTAGAGCTTCATGGTGCCGGGGTCCGAGAGGAATCCAAGCTAGAATACTTGTCCTTTGAATCTGCCCTGGTTATCCTTCTGACTGTAATGTTCCAAGTCTTCTTATTCCTGTCACTCATTCACCAAGTCATTCAATTCATTCTTTTTAATGGCCACACATTACTCTGTGGATATATTACTTATTTTAGTGTTCCTCAGACTTTTTTGTTCACATTCCCTAAAAGAATTTTAAAAATTATCTATCTCTTTGCACGTTTTTAGGATGATAGCAAATTATTTTTTATCATAAGGTTAAATTGTAATGGTTATAATTTCTGGCATATTATAAATACTTACATCATTCTTTTAAATCTCTTTAGTGGAAGAGTTTTTGTTTGGGAACCCTTATGTTAGTGGTGGTGGAATATTTTGGAAAAAAGATAGCAGTAATGATGGCTTTTAGGTATTAAATATTGATTC